AAATACTGACTTCTTGGGTCCTAATTCTGTCAAACAAATGTAATTCATTTCTTTAGTCTATCAATTGCTTCCATTGAGCTCTCTTTGTAAATCAACAGGTCTGATTCAATATTTCTGCTTTTCGCAATAGCCAGGGAATTCATTAATGAAACATTGTTTCTGTATTTCTTTTCCTGAGCTTTATTCTATTAATTTGGGGGGGGGGGAAGCTAGTGAAAAGGATGGGGGGGGTGTTCTTACCACAGTAGAAAAGGTATCATTGCTATTTCCAATTTTAAATATTTTATCATCTAGAACTTGATAACTTATCTGACATTTTTGTTAGATATAGCAAGGTATGTGCTAACATACTAATTTCTAAAGTTAACTCCTGCCATGGTGGCCATTTTATTCAATTCCAGATGTGCTCACTATAGTAACGCAAAAATGTATAATCCTGCATTGTAACTGTAATTCTAACTCTACCATTAGCAAGTATTTTTTCCTCTTCCCCAATTTTTATTGGATTTTTAACTATCTTGTCAATGTAAGTTCTGTAGTTTTTAAGAACTTCAAAACTACCTTTTATCCAAAGGAATTTCCAGACCACGATGTCAATATGTTGCCTTTTAAAACTCAGGCATCCCAGTTGGCATGGAGCTGAAAAGAACTTAGTCCTGAAATCTACTCCCTTTGCTGTCATCAGTTAAAGTATTTGTATTTGTAATATAAATATAATATAAATATAAAAGTATTTGTAATATAAAAGGGGAAAAATGACATTGCCATAGGTGTATACTATAGGCCACCCAACTAGAGGAAATAGATTAACATCTTGCTAGTCAGTTAACTAAGGTATGTAGGAAGCACATCACAATAGTAATGGGGGACTTTAATTACCCTGACATCAACTGGGAGACAAACTTTGCATCAAGTGGAAGATCAAACAGATTCCTGACAAACCTAGCAGACAACTTTGTCTCCCAAAAAGTAGAGAAGGGAACCAGGGGATTAGCCATATTGGACCTAATTCTCACTAACAGGGATGAAATGACAGAAGGTGTTGAAGCCACAGGAACTTGGGTTGGGGGGAGTGATCATGCAATATTGAAATTCAACATTATGCAAGCATAAGCAATAGAACACAGTCAAACTAGAGTCTTGGACTTCAAGAGAGCTAATTTCAATAAGCCTAGGGAAAGCTTGAGAAGGATTCCATGGATGAGAATCCTCAAGGGGAAAACAACTCAAAAAGCTTGGGAAATTTTGAGAAGTGAGATAATAAAAGCCCAGTCTAGCACAATATCAACAAAGAAAAGCTCTCAAAAGAAACCAGCACGGCTGCATAAAGAACTCTCTGATAAATTGAAAGACAAAAAGGACAAGTATAACAAGTGGAAAGAGGGGCACATAACTAAGGCTGAATATCAGCAAATAGCCCAAGCGTGCAAAGATGAAGTGAGGAAAGCTAAGGTTCAAAATGAACTAAGGCTTGTGACAAAAGTCAAAAATAACAAAAAAAAAAAGCTTCTTTCAACATGTTAAAAAAAAGAAAAAAGTCAAGGAAATGATTGGCCCATTAGTGGGAGAAAGTGGCAAGAAGGTGACAAACAACAGGGAGAAAGCAGAACTATTCAACTCATTTTTTGCATCCATATTTACACAAAAGGAAAAAACAGCCCAACCTATTAAAAACAGTACCGTAAAAAACAGATTAGAAACACAAGTTAAGATAGGTAAGAAAATGGTAAATGAGCACTTGTCCAGCCTAGACAAGTTCAAATCACCAGGACTAGGTGGATTATACCCCAAGGTTCTCAAGGAACTGGCAGATGTGATCTCAGAACCACTGAACTATATCTTTCAAAGATCCTGGAAAACTGGGGAACTACCGGAGGACTGGAAAAGAGCTAATATAGTTCCCATCTTCAAAAAAGGAAAAAAATGGATCCAAGAAATTACAGACCTATCAGCCTGACCTCAATACCTGGGAAGATTCTGGAAAAGATAATCAAGCAAAGAATCAGTGAACACCTAGAGGCAAACAAAGTCATTACCAAAAGCCAACGTGGGTTTGTCAAAAACAGATCATGTCAGACAAATCTTATTGCATTCTTTGACCAAGTGACAAAATTAGTGGACCAGAGGAATGCTGTGGATATAATTTATTTGGACTTCAGTAAGGCATTTGATAAAGTAGATCACAAACTACTACTTGATAAGATAGAAAAATGTGGATTAGGCAGTATCACCACCAGATGGATTCGTAACTGGCTGATCGGCTGTACTCAGTGTGTAGTCCTCAATGGAACTGCATCTACATGGAGGGAAATGAGTAGTAGAGTGCCCCAGGGCTCAGTTCTGGGCCCAGTGCTCTTCAACATCTTCAATGATTTGGATGAGGGGATAGTTGGGGAACTCATCAAGTTTACAGACGACACCAAGCTGGCAGGAATAGCCAATACCCTCCAGAAGATAGGCTTAAGATACAGAAGGATCTTGACAGACTTGAACATTGGGCATTCATTTTCATTTCTAACAAAATGAAATTCAATGGTGAAAAAAGTAAGGTTCTATATTTAGGCAAGAAAAACCAAATGGACAGTATACTTTAGGAAGTACCTTGCTCAATAGTAGTAACTGTGAGAGGGATCTCGGAGTCCTAGTGGACAATCACTTAAATATGAGCCAGCAGTGTGCTGCAGCTGCCAAAAAAGCCAACACAGTGCTAGGCTGCATTAATAGAGGGATAGAATCAAGATCACGTGAAGTGTTAGTACCACTTTACAATGCCTTGATAAGACCACACTTGGAATACTGCATCCAGTTTTGGTCACCACGATGTAAAAAAGATGTTGGGACTCTAGAAAGAGTACAGAGAAGAGCAACAAAGATGATTAGGGGACTAGAGGCTAAAATATACAGGGAACAGTTGCTGGAATTGGGTATATCTAATTTAATGAAGAGAAGGACGAGGGGGGACATGATAGCAGTGTTCCAATATCTCAGGGGTTGCCACAAAGAAGAGGGAGTCAAACTATTCTCCAAAGCACCTGAAGGCAGCACACAAAGCAATGGATGGAAACTAACCAAAGAGAGAAGCAACCTAGAACTAAGGATAAACTTCCTGACAGTTAGAACAATTAATCAGTGGAACAACATGCCTCCAGAAGCTGTGAATGCTCCAACACTGGAAGTCTTTAAGAAGAGATTGGACAGCCATTTGTCTGAAATGGTATAGGGCAGTGGTTCTCAACCTTTTTAATGCCACGACCCCCAACCGGTCGTAAGTCGGGGACTACTCAACCAGTCATAAGTTGAGGACTACTCAACTGGTGCAGCACCGTTTGCAGAATGGGACTTTTGGCAGGCTCAGCAAGGCAGAGACAGCCTGGACAATTCCTATTGGCTTTTGAAAGCCAATAGAATTAGACTCTATTCAAAAGAGTCTATTCTATTGGCTTTCAAAAGCCAATAGAATAAAAGAGAGTAGCACAGCCAAGGAAAAGGGGGAAAAAAATGGCAGACTGCATTGTTTGGCGACCCTCGTGAAATGGTCATTCAACCTCAAATGGGGTCCCGACCCACAAGTTGAGAACCACTGGTACAGGTTTCCTGCCTGGGCAGGGGGTTGGACTAGATGACCTCCAAAATCCCTTCCAGCGTTATTATTATTTCAAGCAAAATTAAAGTTTATTAACAAGGCTCAAATCTAATAGGTATGCTCCCTATTGTTTAGTATCTGAAAAGACTAGTTTTTGCATGTACAAAAATAAATGTGTTGGCTAAAAAGAAAACAAGTTTTAAAAGAATTCATGGATGTCATGCTAAAATGCTAACATCACCTTATTGAAAAGCAGATAATGAAGCCTAAAGTTCCAGGTTACAAGTATTTCAAATTAACACTGTTAGGCAGCAATGGCCATGTTATATGAGGGAATTCACTGGAGAAATCAATTATGATTGGAAGAGTTAGCAATAAAAGGAAAGCAGGCCATCAGAGTACATGGTGTCTGGACATCGTCAAAGCTGCCACCAGCCAGAGAATAGAAAAACTCGAAGCAGTGCAACATCGTTAAATGTGGAGAGACTTGGCCTTTAGAATAGCCAAAAGTCACACAAGACTGAATAATAAGGCAGCAATAAGATTGTGTTTTAAGTTTTTCTTTTTTCATTCTACATACTTATTTCATGTCTTTAATATAGCTATTAAAATATATTTTAGAAAGTATGTACTGCACTATATTAAAATAAGTGTTAATAAAATTATTATTCAAATTTATGAACTACCTTTAAAGTTATTTAGTTGACTAATGATCTTATCCAAATGATTAGTATTTTGCCTGTACGGAGGAAATATTTTATTAAATTTGACTTTTGTTAAAATATTTTCTACAAGACTACCTTCTCTTGAACCGAGAAAAGGCTTCGCACAAAACTGTCTTAAGCGAAGTCTACACCAAGCTTAAAGAGCCACGCTTTTAAAGGTGCTTCAATGCAGCAAGTTGGAGATTTGCTCAGTCATAGAGAAAAGCAAAAGCAACTGCAACGTCCGCGCTTTATTGCTTCCAGGAGGCAGACTGCAGCAAAAGGCGACGAAGCAACCGCTCTATTCTCCCTCCCCAACTGGCAGTACAGATTTCAAAAATCAACTGCTGCACGAAGCACCGCCTCTTCTAACCAGGTGTCCTCTAACAAGCGTCAGTTGGATGGCACGTGGTAATGCACGTATTGCAGCGTAAGATCTTTTCATATCCATTCCAGTGTAATAAGTCTAATGAGATCTTGTTTTCTTGCTTCCGCCTCGTAAGTCGACAGGAGAAAAAAGAGCATTCGGCGCTTTTCCGAAGGCTATTCCCCACAACCAGTAAACTGGTTTGCGCACGCGCGTCCAAGCAAACACCGCTAAGCCGCCGGTTCGATCGCTTTGTAAATACAGTCCTGTTTAACACCAGAGATGCATTTTGGGATTTGTAGTCTGTACCCTCGTTCCTTTAATGGAATGCGAGACGGGAAAACTACTTTTCCCGTGAAGCCCCAGGAAGATGAGGAAAGGTGGAGGAGAAAAACAGCATTGGGGCAGGTTGTTGCTATTGCAATCTGGAAACAACCGAAAAGTATTCAGCACGTTGAAAAGAGTGCGGAAAGGAGCAAAGGGAGTTTGAGGTGTGCGCAGCTTTACTAAGGAAGGAGACGAATTTTGGTTACTTCGGAGAGGCAAGATTCTGGAGCCGCGGCTTTGCTTTTTACAGAGAGAAAGGAGGCGGGAGGGTGGCGTTTCTCGTTCTCCCCTCAGTGTCAGTCTTGGGAGCAAGAGCAGCGGGCATTTTTTACTACTCTCATCTACAGGACTCGGGGCTGTCGGACTCGGCTCCACTTTCCCACATTGCAGTGAAGCCCTTGCCGTTGCAGGAGGACTGCAAGAGGCCGAGCGGCCGTCTTCCGATCTCCTCCTGACAAAAGGAGACGGAGGCGGTGTCCGGTAGTGGGGCGGGGAGCGTCAGTAGCAGGAACGCCGCCCAATTGAATTACTTCACTTTAGCGGGTAGCCCTACCGGAGCTAGCCCGCAGCTTAAGCAGGCGGGCAATGAACGGCTTTGGCCCCGAGGAAGTGACCCGCGGCGGGGGAGAAGCCGCCGCCGTCCCGGCCGTTGTAGCTAACGCCACCGCCGCGGTGGAAGTCCTGCCGCCCCCGCCGCCCCTTCCGCAGCCGACGGCCGGGCTGGGAGCGACTTCGTCGGCTGCTGCCGCGACAGCCGCAGGCTCAGCCGGTCCCCTTGGGTCTGCAGGACCCGGTGCTGGGCAGTTATGCTGCTTACGGGAGGAGGGCGAGAGGTGTAGCCGAGCTGCGGGCAACGCTAGCTTCAGCAAGCGGATCCAGAAGAGCATCTCGCAGAAGAAGGTGAAGATCGAGCTGGACAAAAGTGTAAGTGTCTTTAATCTGCGCGGGGCTCCTGGCTTTGGTTGACCTGGGGTTATCCCTTGACCCCTTTAAAAGCCGCCATCGCCAGCCCCATATAACCCTCAGGAGTGGTGGTCACGGTAAAGGGCACAAAAGCGAACCGACTACAGGGAATGAATGGGAAAGATGCTTTTCCGGATAAGCCAAACGTTTTATGCTTTGCTGGTGTTCATTTCTAGTTTCTTTAATTTTAGCATGATTTGGCTGGTTTTCACTCTGGAAAAACAGCTTTATTGAATGAAGGAAAATTGTCCTTTTCTTACAGCCCATTCCAGCTTTTGTGGTACTTGTGTTTTGTCCATAATAGGGGTATGTATTAAGTATTTATTTGCACGTATAAGGGTTTAGACCTGGAAAAGACAGTGGCGATTTCTCTGGTTTTTGTCTTCCTCCTTGGAGATTTTTGAAGGGTTAGCTGTTGCAGAGCTTTTTGTTTCTGTTTTTGTTTGTTCTTGCTGTGTAGTTTGGCTGTGGGCTGAAGCTGCAAAAGCCGAGCCAAAGGCCAGGTACTGGCCTTTGTGAGTGGTTGGAAGTAGCTTCTCTTGTTGCTCTTTTATGCTTTTGTCTGTCTATATCTTCTTTTCCCCTTGAATATGGTGGTGGAATTTATCATAAAGTCGTGTAAACGGCTCTAGGCAAGAAATTGCAAGTATTGTTTGTCGCTGTTCCTATCGACTGTTGGTGTGCATATGTGTTTCATGGAGCACTGTATTTGTTTCCCCCTGGAGAGGACAGTACTTGACTGCTCCGCCTCGTGCTGCAGCGCTGCACGTCCCATTTTGCCATTCTGTCGTCTTCCTCTTGGCAGCCATCAAGCTCTTAGAAAACCTTTATTTTTTAAATACAAAATGCCCCAAAATATATTCGTCGCTTCTGCATATCTTGCTAAACAAAAGAACCAGAAAAATCCCTTAAGTGCAAGACATTCCTAAGCACGTAATCCAGACAGTAAACGTCTGTCAGCTTCTAGCTCCCTAATGTAGAGCGGATACTTGTGATTTTTTCACCGGAAAGAACAAGTCTGGGATATGTCTCGTTATCGGTACTGATGCAATTAAAGAGTATTGTTAAATGTTGGCAGTGTATGCAATGGTTAATTTGAGAAATCGCATGAAGATTCACATATTGAAAAGGGGGGGGGTGATCTTATTGCTTGTTAAGCATGCTACTTATTCCTAAACCAAAACAAATATAGTAGTAATAAACTCTTCCAGTGTGATTCGTGGTAGGTTAATAGCCCAACTAGAACATTTATTTTTACTAGAAAATTAGAATTGTTACTTTATTGTACACTGCTAAATACTTTCTTGATAGGAAGCATTGTTAGATTCCATACAACAAATAAATATAGTTAGATGTGTAATTCTTATCTGTTCTAGTACTTTATGGGGGCTTTCATACCGTACTGGGAGTGCTGTATGAAAATTAGTGCATTTTTCATGTTGCTTTGGATTAATCAGCATATCCATAGGCAAACTAACATGGTGTTGATCCACAATTAGGCGCACACTCTGGAAGAAATAAGTAAAGCCCAGGTCCTAAAACATAAATGACTGTCATATATACAGTAGCTATAAGACTCCAGGATGGTCTGCCTATTGTCATTCTGGTCTCCATCCGCTGCATTGTCCACTAAAAAAGGGAAAGGAAAATTGAGAAATGTGAGTGATAAATAATAATCCTGAAATGTATAGGAAAGCAAGCAAACTGAAATTGTCTGATGACTATTGAACAGAAGTAGATAACAAAAAACAAAATCAACTTATTGTCTTTTGCATGGAATGAAGGAAATCATATATTAAGGTGCTAATATCAATAGAAAGGGTGGGAACTTCCTTAGAAGAGCAAAACCTAAGAATCTGGGTCTTGTGAGGTCAACCCATGTTATCAGATTCTATATTCTTGCTATAAAGTCATGTTATTTAATCAGCTTTTGAAAGTCCTTTGTATTATTTCAGAGAATATATAAACTAATCTTGAGAGATTTGAGACACTTCAGTATTCTTTTGGTAAATATCCTATTGATCCCTATGCTTGTGAGTGCCAATAGAATATACTTTGTTGCATCTATTGCCAAACTCTTTAGTTCTTTACTGAAGTAGGCATTTTTTCCTGAAACAACTTGTTTCTGTGCTAAAAAAAAATCTAGTATTGTATATGCATCATTAAATTACCCATACATTTTTTTCTTAAGTGGCCATTACCACTTTATAACTTTTTTTTGTTACTCAGTTTTCAATCCAAAGTATCTATTTTGCATAGAATACAGTTAGAAATTTTATTTGCAATTTAATATTCTAAAACATATTAGAAGCAAAATAAAATTGCCAAGTTGTTTGAGAATTGAACATTTCTTTTTTTTTTTTGAACAATTGTCATTTTTCTGTCTATACATTTTGTATATACATAAACAGTATTCATTTTCTTTGCAGTTTACCTATTAAATTAGGGTTAAAAATCATTTGCTAAGCCATGATATACTGCAGTAATTAATGTACCAAATTTCCTCTACATGAACTAGTACAATCAGATGAGTTAGTGATTAATATCATTGCTTTGACTACTATATATTAATAAAATCATTTGCATGTGAATTATAACTACAGAAAATGTTACAGAGAGGCATGTTAAACTATCTCTTTAAACTTTCAGGCAAGACATCTTTATATTTGTGATTTCCACAAAAACTTAATTCAGAGTGTCAGAAACAGAAGAAAGAGAAAAGGCAGTGATGATGATGGTGATTCACCAGTGCAAGACATTGATACTCCAGAGGTAGATTCATATTTTTTCTCAGAATTAATATCTGCATAATTCATATGTGATACGAAAACAGTACTTGGTTCAAAAACCTAGTGGCTTGTATATTTGTTGCATCTCATTTAGTGCTAAATATCATGTATTATTAGTTTTATATAGCCATCCCAATTTTTGCCTAATTGTGATTCCAGACAGTCTATGTCAAATACTCCAAATATAAGGTTTACTTTTAAAAATGAAAGATTTGAGGTAAGAAAATATAAATGCCAGTAAAATATGAATTATGACTTTTGAGATGAACAGAGCTGTATTTCAATAATATCTAGAACATCATTTATCCATCTCAGATTATATGATAAAGAATTGTTAAAGAGTTTTGTATTTTAAGTTTTGGTCAGCATAGATGTTTTGCTGTACTTTAAGTTTCTGGAGAGAGAAATTGGGACCTTTCATTGGTGTAAAATATGTACCATCCTTAATCAAAGAGTTACAGTGGCACTATTTTGCTACACATTACAAAATGATGAGTACATAGCTCAAAATTTCATACAATATTTGCAAGATAAAATAGGTTGAGAATTAACTGTAGGTTAAAGAATCATGTTTCTTTCTAGGTTGATCTGTTTCAGCTACAAGTAAACACATTAAGAAGATACAAAAGGCACTTCAAATTACAGACCAGACCAGGACTTAATAAAGCACAACTTGTTGAAGTAAGTAGAACTTTATTTTTTCTTTTGAATACAAAAAATTAAACATGCCATAATACATAGTTTTTCTGAATTGTAGCTTTTAAATGTTTTAGTTCTGAAGGCTTCTTTTTATTTTGATGATTGCTTATATCTCTCCCCAAGTATATTTCTGCAAATCTTTGCTATTCTTTCATGTTGAGATCTACATGGTTTTCCAACAAAGTTGGAGACTAAAAACATCTGATCACTTAACAGGTTTACCTGGGCAGATTTGGGTGGGAGAAGAGTCTATTGTTTTGACGTATATTGGTTCCACATCTTCTTCCTCTGTAACTGCCCGGGTGTTGAAATCTGTAGAAGAGGCTCTCCTCTAAGTTTCCACTTTTGGAAGTTATGCATCATGTGCAGGTGCAAGGAAATGTCCTTTGGGTAAAATCCTCACTTATAATATAACTTTCCTTTGAACTTTAGAATGTAGTTCAAGACTGGCCATTTCAAAAGACCTTTAGTGTTGTTTTAAAGTTTAGTTTAGTTTAGTTTTAAATGAAGCTCAAATTAATATATAAGAAATAGTTTTATACATAAAATTGAATGAAATACTATGCAGATTATGAAGAACTTAAAAGGTGAATTCTAAGTTAAAAACATGTCTTCATAAAAGACTTGTAAAATTGCAAAATAAAAAGCATGGAGACAAGCAACTATAACTTGTCATAAATACATATCTGAATTGAATCTGAATTAAATCTGAATTGGATTTAACTCCTAGAAAGACAACTTGAAGACATAGTAAAAAAACTCCTTGATAAATGTTGGCTTACAATGTTACAATAGTGAAAAATGAGAATCGTAGAAACAGTGGAAAAGCAAACCTAGGCCTCGAAATTATCAGAAAAGAGATTTGAAAAAAAAAGCTGCAGATATTAGCCACTGACATTTGGAGAGTATTGAATTGGCTGTCCATTCTTAGATGCCTTAAAACCGAATTAAGGAGAAATAAAACAGAATTGGTCAAGCTTGCTTATATTATGTGTATATTGCCAATTATCTTTTGTTTAGTTTTTAAAAAATATTTTTATGCTGTTATCCACCTAGATATCATAATGGAGATATATATGGGTAGCTATGTAAATGGAAGATATAAATAAATAAAATAATGCATATATAGAATTGGTAGAAATAAAGATACTACAATAGGTTAATAGGTTAAGTAAATTAGTAGAATAGATTATATCACCAAATTTAACCAGGGGTATTATCAAAGACAGGACAGGAAGACCTGGAGGAACGTTGTCCATGGGGTCGCGATGGGTCAGACACGACTTCGCAATTAACAACATTATCAAAGAAACTACTAATTATTACTGTTGTTGTTTTGTTGTTATTATATATTATTATTATGTATTATTAGTATTTATTATTTATTATTATAGCCAGGAGACCACAGTACTATTACAGAGTAGTTTGGCTGCCAAGGTAACAGTTCTGTTGTAGGAAATACTTGTAATCTTCCCATGGTGTGCCACAAGAGGCAAACTGGCTTCATACTAAAAAGAAGGACAAGTGGTTCTTCGTGCAGTGTCATCAAGGCTTCCTCCCTCCCCGGAGCTGCCACACCAAAAGGCGCTGCAATTGGGAAGGTTCAGAGGGTGGAAATCTGACTGCCTGCATAGAGCACCAGCTCAATCCCTTACCAAAGTGGTACCTATTTTATCTACTCGCATAGAACATGCTTTCGAACTTTTAGGTGAACAGAAGCTGAAGTGAATGATAGAAGCTTACCCCATACGCGGTGCTAGGATTCAAACCACTGGTAGAGAATATCAACAGTGACATTAAGCCACTCAGCCACCATGCCTCTTAAGAAAACTGATAAATTGTAATATCAAATAGCACAGATGAGGCAGTACTTCTAATATGAAGCAGTACTTCTGGTTTTCATCAAGTAACAGTTGATTGAATCAAGCTCACTTTTTGTGTATCTTGAGGACATTTCAAAAATTTAGAAAACTTCTCCAGTTCTTCGTTCTGTTTATCATAAACTTGTCCTATAGGTATAAATTGAAAATTTGGTCACCTTATCAAAGTATAATTGTCCCAATATGGATCCTTGGAATTTCAGTGTATGTTTTTTTTTAATTTGTGTAAAAGAATAGTATATAATAAAGGTGGAATACAAATAAATTAATCAATATTAGATCCTTAACTACATAAAACTAAGAAAAGGGGTTTTTTTAACTAAAAAAAGATGGCATTTATGAGTAGTTGAATTCTCAGGTTTTCCAAAATATTATAGAGAAATCCATATTTGGTAATGTGTTAAGCTTATTTTTACAGATTACTTGGATAAGTCAGTTTTTAATATATTGCATCATTTCATTTAAGGTAGCCTAATGGTATCTTAGTTTTTTATTATTCCTTAATCAAAGCATGTTTTTAATTTTGAATGTACTTTTCAAGTAGACTGGTATCTTAATGCTTCCATTTTTGCATGAATTCCTTAAAATATTAATAAATTGTTCTTATTTTAATGGCTTACTTCTTAGACCCTTGTCAATATTTTTTTCAATATATAGACAAATCCTTTTTTTTCCCCTCCAGATAATTGGATGTCATTTTCGGACTATTCCAGTGAATGAAAAGGATACTTTAACCTATTTCATCTATTCAGTGAAGAATGACAAGAACAAATCTGATCTAAAAATGGATAGCAGTGTTCACTAAATAAACAAAATTAAGACTCACAAACCTAAACACTGGTTTGGATATGCTGAGCTTTCTTTGTATTAATATTCAGAGTATTCTGATGTTATTTTTCTTGGGAAAAATACTATTCTCATAAATTAGGTTTCCATGATGAAAGTATTTTAATTAAATACTGTTAATGTTCCTGTGCCTATATCTGAATAATATCTGACATTTGTGTAAGCTTTAATAGTAAATCTCCATTTCATTTATTGAAATCAGAATTATATCCAAAGAATATTTTAAGGCCTTTATGCATTAGAGCTCTTATATTTTCTCAGGTATATTTTTTAAAATCCTTAATAATTTCCTAAGCAAAATTTAAAGATTATGTAAGGCCACACTACCATTCTAGAGATTTGTCCCTTGACTAAATTAATACCTGTTTGTGTATAAGGCTGAGAAATATTGGTTTGCAAACCGTTTCATGCTAAGTAGTTTTGTATGATGTCTGAATTCATTGATTGTTGCAGCTGCATTGCAGCTGCAGAGGATTATCATTTTGGAAAGGAAGAACTTTGAACTAAATAATAGAAATACTTTTGTTTTTCTAAACACACTTCACTCATTTGAATGTTGCTCATGCTTTTTAAATACATACAGATTTTATAATGAAAGTGGTTGATCAAGAATAAGTACATTTAGCTATAATATTCCTTGATGTGTTTGTATGATTTTGAATATTTTATCTCAGATCTGAATGACCTCAGATGCTCTTGGTTGCACCATTTGTCCTTTATGTTGTATGATAAAGGTAATGATAAAGACAATACTTGTTTTTTCATCTGAATTTTCTTTTATTGTGTGTAAAGTCTGTATGCATTTAAAACTGATGTAGGCTTGTTTGAAAACTCCAAGCATGATTTGCCTTCTGTGCCATGCCTACTCTGAATCATGATTTAAATGACATTGTTGAGCCTTAATGCTCAGTTGTGGCATTAAGGAACCAACCTTTTTTTATTTTAAATAGATTCATTATTAGGGTATGCAGCTCCTTGGATGGGATGCAAAAAAGGTATTTTTGAGATGTGATCATACATTCTGAATCTGAGCATTTCTTAATGCTGCATTTGTTTTCTGAGCTTGTCCAGGGTCTACAAAGATTCAGAAAAAGAATCATATTTAACTAAGGAGGAAGTGGTATTGATAAGCATGGCTTTATACCTCAAAGACATATATATTTTCCTGAAATCAGGTGGCTGCTATGCAGTTTTTTTTTGAAGAAATAGCAAGAAGCATAATCATGCTTGGTATTTCTTCAATCATGCCAGCACCTTTACTTTTTACATCAAATGCTGGAAGTCTCTACTTACCTATTATATTACAGTCTATAATAACAAACCATTTGATTTTTGTGGTCAGAAACTAAACTATAATTTTACTGGGAACTCCTTGTATTGCTGTACTAACTGCTACACATTGTATAATTGATTTATTTTCTTCAGTAGCAGACAAGCAATATAGATAGTCCTTGACGTTCGACCACAATTGAGCTCAAAATTTCTGTTGCTAAGCAGAGAATAGACAATCAGAAATAAATAAGTGATTGCCACAACAGTTTGCCAGTTCACTTTTACATTGTCAAACATTGCAGGGCAATATATTTCAGGAATGTTCATCAGCTGGGACAAGATTTGTGTTTAGGGAATTAATTTCAAATATTAATTTTTATGACATGCATTTATAAGGCCACCCAATTCACATTATGTGATTCTGGGCTGCAACAAGAAAAGCAAAATAATATTTTAAAAAATTCCAATACATAAAATATAAGTGGCAAATGGCAAAGAAATAAAATAATTAAACAGTCAAAAGGAAAGTCCATTTGACCCATATGTTGGTAAAGAAGTCAGGGTATAGCAGTGGTACAGTTTGATAGACCATGGCCAGATGTGAAAAATACTTTGATCACCCATTTGTACCCTACCATATCTTCCTGCTAAGTTTAAACTTCTATTCCTAAAATCTCATGTATCTCACTGCACATTGTCTCCCAGTCTTGACTTGCCTTTACCTATAACTCTTCCAACATAAGTGGTAAAATGGAGCCAGTGAGGAGTGCTGAGTAATTATATTGTATCATTAAAATATTAAGTTTGACAAGTTGACAGATTAATATTGAAACTAATGATAAACAAAAATTTATATTTGAGTGGGCTAAACAGTTCTATTCATGTTTATGTCCCTTTGTTCAATACAGTTTGTTCTCAATACACTACATTTTTAATCTGAAATTCAATGTTTATAATTCTAACTTGGGTGTCAAACTCTCATCGTCACGTGACTTGTGGTGTATCATGACTTTTTTGCCATTGCCGGCAATGGGGTGGGCGCGGTTTTGCTATGATGCATCCAGCCCATGGGCCGGCAGTTTGACACCCCTGTTCTAACTTTTTCCCACTAATTCCAATTATTTTGGTGTTAAAATTGATACTGAGGTTTTTACAGGATTCTTTGCATTTTCTTAGGAGTAAACACTACTGAAACAAATGTTGCATAAGCTAAGAATTTGGATTATACAAATCTTGAGTAATATGTTTTGTTTTAATTATTGCATGTAGAGCCTTGGGAGCTCATGATAGGTCACTTCCTCATTTCTTTAACAGTCATATGAAAGTTGGCTGAAGAGTTACTGATCTTCAAAGTCAGGGATGTCAAACTGTTGACCTGCGGGCCGGATGCGTCATCCAGAAGCCGTGCCCACCCCAGTGCCGGCAATGGCAAAACCGTCCCGATATGTTGCGTGACATCACATGACGTCGCAAGTTTGACATGCCTGTTCAAAGTCAAGCTGAATCTTGAATCCAAGTTTCACAGGTCCTGGTTCCAATGTTATGACAGCCACACTTTATTATATCATGTATTTAGATATGGCATAATTTCTATACAGTAAATCATTCTGCAGTGTTTGCTATTTGGTATAATCTGCCTTAGTTAAGCATCAGTGGGATATAAAATGTACACAAACTTCCATAGGAAACTTTATGTTTACTCTTAGAATGATTCTAGACAAGAGACAGAACAATACTAGAAAAATACCTACTTAGCAGGGGAGAGTGGACTTTATTTACATTTATATAAAAACCAATAAAAGGCATTTTCAATCTGGCACCATGTAAATAGGATGGACTACAACTGGGTTTGTTTTGTTTGAGATTCCTGGCTTGATCACATTTAGAGGAGTCAGGCTAAGTAAAACTGATTCTGCCAATGGATCCTACTGAACCCAGTAGGACTTATTTTACATAAGCATGCATATGATTTCCCCAACAGTATGTTTTTAACAAGACAGCTGCCTATAGTAGCCTTCCTATTCCATGCTAAAAAGCCAAGCAGACTGCATGTTACATTCCTACTTGACTTAAAAACAAATACAATAAAAGCAGCTAAAATGATATAGTGAAGGAAAGCTGCTTTGCGTGAATATCTTCAACTGTCAAACTACTACTGTTAGAATTTGTCATGTTAGTCTCAAGGAAGATTTTTTTTATGGCAATAATTTTTGAAATCCTATTGAACAGAGAAATAACCTTGAAATATCAATAGGAATTTAGGATGTTCCATGTGGGCATTCAAAAGAAGAATTGAGCTCAAAATTTCTGTTATCATTGCAGCCTTCCTTCAGAGCTTTTCTACGTGCATGTAGAAATGATAATGTCTACTCCAGTGCATTCTTGCTTTCTGTTGCATGAATGTTCATTAGACCTACAATAGATGTAATATTTCAGATGAATTCAACTATACTGATGAACTAGTATCCAAACATAATCTATAGTGCTAGAACTAATGACTTCTATTTTGAAAAATGACTTCATAAAGCTTTTTAAAATACTTAAGATATTTTGTTTTTTCTCCTTATAAAACTATTTTTTCTCCAGAGTAAACATACATATTCAATTGTTCATACTGAAAATATTTAAGATTCTGTTGTTCCTCTAATCATGATGAGTGCTAATACAATAGGAATGGTCAGTTCTGACTTTGATAGGAGATTTGAGTATGAATCTACAGTATATGTCTTCAGAAGAAATAGAATTTCACAGAGGTTTACTTAAGATGTACAGGATGGCAATGTAAGCCATAATCTAATGTGTTGGATTGTTACAGTATTCAATATATGCAATAATTTGATTGCTACTGAGATTTTCATTAGTTTCTGTTACAATTGGCTTAACATAGTGAATAAATTAAAGTATGGCAGATCTTGACCTTAACCTCTCCACTTCCTAAAATAGAGCAGAACAGAATCAACACTGAATGAAACTATTAGATGCAATATCACTATTAAAGTGTTTTCAAAATAATGCTGCAAGCTGCATTGTACTTAAATGGATTATAGCGTTCATTTAATTGCATTTAGAAATGTTAATATAATGCTTTTATTCATGCTTTATAAATATTTTATTTAAATTCCAAGCAATTATTGAAATGTTATTTCAGTATAGAAACCTGATGCTTGTAAGCACTTCAGGGTTTAACCAAATTTTTTTTGTTCTGATCTTTAAGTGGGAATTAATGAAAAACAACAACAGCAAAAAGAACTATCCACAGGATCAACTACCACCATGACTAGTAAAAATTCATGCTTAGAATACAGAATAATATGTTTTGCAAAGAAGTATGTGATTAGAACATGGTACCGGTACTTGCAAATGCAGATTGTGATGTGCTCAGAAAAAAAATGGCTTCAAAGTAAACTTCAGTGTTATTCATAGACGTCCAATAGAAGCAGTGATGAGTCCTTCTTGCCATGATTCCCTCATACATAATTTTAATAATAAAATGTGATTTGCATAAATGAGTTATAAAAATTTAATTTGCATGATTCGTGATATTACTTGCCCTTGTGAGCACCCATGTATTTTTCCTACCCACTGCTCTAACTTTCCTTGGAAAACTAACTGTTCTTCATCCATTCAGTAAGCACCCTATTGATGTATTGGTTCACAATAATTGAATTAGAAACATTATACAAGCAAAAAAAATAACACATTGAACTTCGCAGCTCAGTCAAAAACTCAAATTCAAAAGTTAAATTACAAATGTCTAGTTAAATAATAGTCTTTATAAATCAATAAGATTTCTAGGGGTACCTTTGGGGGTCAGGTAGACCTTCCCAAATTCAGTGAGTGTTAGAAAAATAATTGAATCAGAATCAGAATAGAGCTAGAAGGGACCTTCAATGTCTTCTAGTCCAATGCATGCTCAACCAGGAAACTCTATACTATTTCAGACAAGTGACTGTCCAGTCTTAAAAACCTCCAGTGATGAAGCACCCACAACTTCTAACGGCAAGCTGTTCCAGTGTTTAATTGTTCTTGCTGTTGTGAAATTTCTCCTTATTTCCAGATTTCTTTTCTCCTTGATTAGTGTCCATCCATTGTTTCTTTTCCTGCCCTCTGGTGGTTTGGAAAATAAGTTGACCCTCTCCTCTTTATGGTAACCTCTGAAATACTGGTATCATGTCCCCCCTAACCCCCCCAGTCCTTCTTTTCTCTAGATTAGACAAATCCAAATCCTGAAACTGTTCTTCATATATTTTAATAATCTTAGTTGCTCTTCTTTGCACTTTTTCCAAAATATCAACATTTTTGTAATGTGGCCAAAATTGGATGCAGTATTCCAAATGTGGCCTTACCAAGTCATTATAAAGTAGCATTAACATTTCATGTGATCTGATTCTATCCCTCTGTTTATACAACCAAGGATTGTATTAGCTTTTTTGGCTGCTGCCACACACTGCTGGCTCATCTTTAAGTGATCGTCTACTAGAACTCCAAGGTCCCTCTCACAGAGTACTGGGCCTAAGATGGAACCTTGTGATACCCCACTGTTTACTTCTCTCTGTGTAGATGTAGTACCATTAAGGATGACACATTGAGTACGATTTGTCAACTAATTACAAATCTATCTGGTAGTGATGCTGTCTATTCCACATTTTTCTACCTTACAGAGAAGTAGGTTGCGGTCTACTTTGTCGAATGCCTTTCTGACATCTAAGTATACTATGTCCACAACATTTCGCTGGTCTACTAATCAAAGAATAAAATTGGCATGATCTAATTCTAACAAACCCATGCTGGCTTTTAGTTATAATTTTATTTGTTTCTAGGTATTTGCAGATCTGTTTTTTGATTATGTTTTTCAGGATCTTCCCAGGTATTGATGTTAGGCGGATTGGTCTTAGTTTCTTGGGCCTGTTTTTTTTTTTGTTGTTGTTGTTTTTTGAAGATGGGAACCACATCAGCTTTTTTCCAATCTTCAGATAATTCCTCCAGGTTCCAGAATCTTTGAAAGATACGGTACAATAGTTCTGAGATAACATCTGCCAGCTCCTTCAGAACTCTGGGATGTAATGTGTCAGGTCCCAGTGATTTATATTTGTCAAGATTAGATAGATGCTGCTGCGTTCATGTGTGTGAGAGGGATGAGAGGGGAGGAAGGAGTAGGGAGGAAGTAGGATGGTTAGTGGAGATGGGGAGGGGAAGAGAGTAGGAGGGGAGGAGAGAAAGAGGAGGGAAGTAGGGAAGGTTTAGAGAGGGTGGACGCAGCCTGGGGGGAATGGGCAGGCGGTACCAATGGTTAATTGTATTTTGTATGAATAAATGGAAAATAAAAACTTTTTAATAAAAAAAATTAAAAAAAAAAGATTAGATAGATGTTCTCTTACCATTTTCTTGCTTATTTTAATGTTTATTTCTACTCTGTCTTTTACAGTAGTTTTTTTATAGGTTGGACTATATTTCTTTTTGCATGAAGACTGATGCAGAGAATGGGTTAAGCAGTTCTGCTTTATCTCTGCTGCCTGTTACTTCCTTGCCTTCTTCTCTCTTAAGTGGACCTACTGTGTCCTTGACTTTTTTTTTTCTTATTTATATGTTGAAAGAAACTTTTCTTTAATTATCTTTGACTTTTGTTGCAAGACTTTGTCCATTCTGAGCCTTTGCTTTCCTGACTCCATCTTTGCAGATTCAGGCTACCTGCTGATTCTCTGCCTTAGTTATGTGTCCCTCTTTCCATTTTTTGTACTTATCCTTTTTGTTTTTCAGCTTACCAGAGAGATCTTTGTGGAACCAACCTTGTATCTTCTTGGATTTCTTGTTTTTTTCTGTTGGACTGGGCTTTTATGATCATATTTTTCAGAGTTTCCCATGCTTTGTGAGTTAGTAGTAGTAGTAGTAGTAGTAGTAGTAGTAGTAGTAGTAGCAGTAGTAAAATTGGAAGGGACCTTGGAGGTCATCTAGTCCAACCCCCTGCTCAGGCAGGAAACCCTATACCATTTCAGACAAATGGCTGTCCAGTCTCTTTTTAAAAACTTCCAGTGTTGGAGCATTCACTGCTTCTGGAGGCAGGTTGTTCCACTGGTTAATCGTTCTAACTGTCAGGAAGTTTCTCCTTAGTTCTAGGTTGCTTCTCTCCTTGATTAGTTTCCACCCATTGCTTCTTGTCCTGCCTTCAGGCACTTTGGAAAATAGCTTGACTCCCTTTTTTGTGGCAGCCCCTGAGATATTGGAACACTGCTATCATGTCCCCCCTTGTACTTCTCTTCATTAAACTAAACTAAACTAAACTAAATTAAAATTCCAGAAGCCGTACCTTATATGCTTTAGCCTCCAGTCCCCTAATCATCTTTGTTGCTCTTCTTTGTACTCTTTCTAGAGTCTCAACATCTTTTTTACATTGCGGTGACCAAAACTGGATGCAGTTGTTTTCCCCTTTAGGATTTTCATCCATGGAATTTTTCTTAGACTCTCTTGAGTTCATTAAAATCAGCTCTTTTGAAGTTTAAGACACTAGCTGAATTATGTTCTATTGCTTGCATTTGCATTATATTGAATTCCAGTATGACGTGGTCACTCTCATCCAAAGTTCTGGCAACTTCAACTCCCTCTATCACTTCTTCTCTATTGGTAAGAATTAGGTCCAAAATAGCTTTTCCTCTAGTTCCCTCCTCTATCTTTTGAATGACAAAAGTTGTCAGCTACCATAGGCTGGTTAGGAATTTGTTTGAGCTCCCAGTTGCTGCAGAGTTTGTCTTCCAGTTGATATCAGGGTAGTTAAACTCTCCCATTACTACTGTAGTATATTTCCTACATATATTTGTTAATTGTTTAGCAAAAAGTTCATCTATTTTTCTGCTTGGTTGAGTGGCCTGTAGTATATTCCTATAGCAATGTCATTCTCTTTTCATTTTATATTGACCCACATGGATTCTAAGAGGTTTTCATCCTTGGTTTTGTAGATTTCTGTAGAGATGTAGTGATCTTTTATATATAATGCAACTCCACCTCTTTGGTTAGGTATGCTTCTTTTGAATAGTTTGTATCCTTCCATCAGTACATCCCACCATGTTTCAGTAATGGCAACTATATCGTATTTACCTTAATGTACTAGTACTTCAAGTTCACCCTGTTTCCTAAACTTTGAGCATTTATATATAGCAGGGGTTCCCAACTGGGGGTGCAAGACGATGTTCCATGAGGTACGAAAACTTGGGTTTCCAAAATTATACTGTATGTGCACAATTGATTGCCGTTATTTTGAACTTTTGTAAGGGGTATGAGAATATATCAGAAGCGTTCTAGGGGTGCGGGGTATAGAAAAGGTTGGGAACTGCTGATATATAAGATTTGAGTCCTTTATGGGTTTTGGGTATGTTTCTTATATCTCCCACTTTGTATCTGGGTTTTCCATCCTTTCCATCACTACTACTACTACTACTACTACTACTACTACTACTACTACTACTACTACTACTACTACTACGTCTTCTCCTTCTCCTTCTTCTTCTTCTTCTTGCTATTTCTATATCTTTCAGTGGTATTTGGTCTACCAGTCAAACATATTGCAGTCTCCGATCATTTGTAATTCACAAAAGAGGGTAGAGTGATAATTACAGCCCAGGGCAACAATATTTATTATCAAGGCAATAAAGTTTATGATCTAGGCAGTAAAAGTTTAAATCTTACAGTGATAGTTGTAACAACTTTTAAAAATGATCACTCAGTTTTCTCAGAAACATCCAATTTATACAAAAAATTGTATTTAGACTGTAATCCTTATAAATTCTTATAAATATAAAGAAAAAAAGGAAAAAGAAAAAAAAAACAGATCTGTACCTAATTCATAGAAGACCACTTGTGCAAATAGATCTGTTTCTAATACATTTTGCAATTATGTCTGTAAGTATGCACTATTAATGGTAAAAAGAACTTCAGATCCTTTCCTCATTTAGTTTTCTTGCAGGCACTGGATCCTAAGTGTTATTTTTCCTATTCTCCTACATAAATTGGAGGGGATTTCTTTAAGTTATCCTGGAACCAAGCCAGATAGGATTTTATGTTCAAAAGCAGCACTATTAATAATGAAATAGTCATTATGAATAGGAATATCACCTACTAACATCTTGGCTGCTATGTTTTGTCCCAAAGGTATCTTAAGATCTTTTCCAGAGTCAGGCTTATACAGAGAGCATTACAGTATGCTCATCTAATTGCATAGTGATGAGTTCATTGGTTACTGTTGCCACAGTGCAGACATCTGTGCCCTTTCAATCTTAATGAATTACAATTCTCATGGAACCTCAGCAAGACCAAAGGTAAGAAGGAATGATGAAGTACCTGAAAAGTAACAGATTTCCTATTCCTGATGCAGTTTTCCTTGAGTAAAGCAGCCATTGGTCTTTATTATATGCATTTACATTCATTCAATCCCTACTTTTCATCAGCAACTTTTCTCTTCCAACAACCTGTTTCGAAAGGCAGGACCTTCAAGTCGTAGAATCATAGGGCTTTTCTCCATTTGACATAAATTTGCTCTGGATTGAATCCTGGAATCTTAAGCAAGAGATAGCCAAACTGAATCTATATCCACTTCTTCAGTGCCTATAAAACTAAATTGCAAACTCAACACTGAATTTACTAGTATGCTAAAACTATTCAAAGTTACTGGATGTACATGCAATGTAATTCTATGCTTTTGTTGGTTGAATGTAAATCCCATTGTATTCAATGAAATTTTAACATCTTTCTATTTTCATTCAGTTTGGTATCTTGTGTTATAGTACTTAGAATTTATGCTAGAAGTGTGAATTTTTTAAAAATATTAATGTATGTATTTTTTCACATGAGTTCTCATAGAAGTTGAGAACTTCTGAAGTCAGTAGTTAACATTTATTATTATTTGATTCAAATTCATTTGTGATTATCTGGGTTTTTAT